AGTGCCCCAAGGGAAACCAAGACCCACCACTTCTCATGCTGTTAAAAAGACAAGAAAGAAAACTTATCAAGGAGGCTGAATTCTCTGCCCATGTGATCTTTCTCTCCTGGTGGCAAACAATTAAGAAAATTGTCTCCAACGGAGAGACCAAAGCAGAGAAACAGGCTTTTCCTCCCTCCAGTTCAAATCTTTCTGAGAATTCTCCTCCCCAGAACTCCAGGAAGTTACTTTCCCATCCATATCTCCTAACTGCATGTTAGCACCTTAAACCCTTACACCACGCAGTGCCCCCAATCCATGTCCACATGGATCCATGAACGCAAGCACAGCAAGCTGGAGTCTTCCCTGGTGTTCAAGGGGTTGGGGCAGACAGGCCAGAGAGCTGGGGCTCCAGCTGGTTTCCTGCACCTGCTAATCTCAGCAACCACCAGGCAGGAGATGGAAGATGCTCTGCTTCTGCCTTCTTCATTCCTAAACTCTCTTCCTCTTTTCCACCTGGGTCCTGCGAGGGGTGCTGTCCACTGGAGATGCAAGAGCTACAGCGACTTATAAGCCAGTCCTGCCCCTGTGCCCAGCCCAAGGACCTCAGAGAGGTCAACCTCCCTTCCCCGGGGCCTCTGCAGAACAAACACAAATTGGTCCTCCTCCACCTGAATCATCACACAGTCTTACACCGACCAATCCCACAGTTATTCACATGCACTTTATCATGCAGAGTTTGGCTCAGATAATGCCCCCAAACTGAAATGTCCTATGCCAGTCCTAGCAACACAGTCACTAGTGTCTACAATAAAGTCTCCCCTCTTTCCCTTCCTTCCCATCACTCACTCACGCTCTGACCAAAAGTTGCTTCCACCGCTGTGTGTGTCTGGTGTAACGGTGAGACGATTTTACAATCCTGCTTTCCTTCAGAAAACTGTGATTTCAGCTAATACAGCTAAATCTCAGGTTTCATTCTGAACTAAAGGGTTCTGAAGTACTTCCCTTTGCGCTGAAGTTGTTTATTTTCAAAAGCTTGTTTTAACAGCAGCTTCAGGTTAATGAACCTGAAAAATCGACCACGAGCCAGAACGCCAGGGTTCTGGGCTGGGCTTGGGGACTTTCTTACTGTGTTACTTGAGACTGGTACCAGAACCATCAAGGAGGCGGCAAGAAGAGAAGCTGGCTGGGCCAAAGGCAATATGAGAGGACTGGGATGGAGGGGACTTGTTTCTGGTCACTTTGGAACCTTTCCAATGCCATCACACATATCAGCTGGTCCCAGCTAACAAATCTACACAACATTCTAAAACACAATTTCATTGCGTTTAATAAATGAATGAAATAAATAAACCCATGTCACTCACACTTGCAACTCAAAAGGTGGGAATGGTCCCTGACACTGCCAAGGGCATTACCAGAGGTCCACTCAGTAATAGCTGCATAAATGATAAGGGCAGGACCCCTAATCTGTTGGCCACCTCTGGGTCCATTGGAATAAGGCAGTAAAGATGATTTACAAGCCAGTCCAAATGCTCGCTCCACCCCCTCCCCAGGCCCCAGCCCACACACACAGTGTGAATTCGTGACAAGGAGACTTGAACAGTCCTTGCACATAATGGCGATCCTCAACACCAATTCTCAGGCCTTACTGAGTAGAGGCAGCTATTACTTGGGACTCAATCCAGAAGTCACCTTCTGTTCAGACTGCAACTGCAATGGCCTGAGGTCCTTTTGGGGATCTCAGTATCAACATGGGTAACATGGGGCTGAAAATCTGGTATTTGATTCTATACCTCCTGAAAAATGGGAAAGAATAAACAGACCATCAATGATCTGTCTGGAAGGTATTTTGCTTAGGTCTATGAAACCTCACACTACTTCACTGTGGCCTGTGTTGTCATGAGAAGGCTTCATAATGTATCTGTAAACAAGAGAAAATAGAGCTTTCTGATTGTATCAGTTTGATAACCGTAAGCAGTTCACAGCAAGGTAAGGAGGTGCATTCTGGCGGAAGCCGGCCCAGCATTTGATGTACTCGGTACTCAGCTAACAGGCAGGCTTCTCGAGCCATGTTATCTGCCCCCACATCTTGACCTAATTTAACGAGTTGCTATGGGAGCCCAGGGAGGTTTGATGCAATTTTCTTATCTTTGAAGGAAGAATATAACTGTTCAAGAGAATGTGAAGATTCAGTTTCTAACTGATTTGTACACTTGCGGCACAGTAACAAAACACCCTAGGAAGAAGCAAAATTCCTTCGGAGGTGCTACAGCCTGGGCTCCCAGAGTACCAGCGGGAAGATGGAAAAACCAATCACACATCCTTCGGGTTCAAATCAAATAACAGAGCTAAGAAGATACCAATGACCTTTCGATGTGGCTACTCACAGTGTGCATCAAGTGATTCTGAACGGAGCAGATCAAAATGGGGGCAGGGTATGCAAAACTTGAGAGAGGAAAAATACTCGTGTGAGCCATAAAGACATTACTCACAATTGTACAATGATTGCTGCTTTCCTAAGCATTTCTCCATGTTTCAGCTCTTCTTGACAGCTCTTGCACAGTCAGACCACACACACACTCACCCACTGGTAGGTATGCTGGTTATAGCCTTGAATGGTATATCCCAGCCTTCCTTCCATTGCTAAGGTATCTCTGAACTCACAAGGGCCAGAGGAGAAAAGCCACCAAGAGCCATTGTCGACAGTGTGCCTTGTCAACAATGGTGTTCACCAAGCACAGAATTGAGAAAAAAAACCCACCAACATGTAGGCAGTCTTTGAGACTCCTTAAAATCCCCACCCTTGTTCAGACCACAAGCATAAGAGCTATACTTCAGGTCAACACACATTCACCATGTCCTGGATCTAACCGACAATAAGCTCTCAAGGTCTACCACCTGCTCTGCTCTGCTCTCACCAGTGCTAAGCTACCTGCTAAAACAACCACTTTGTTACAACTAAGGGTTTTTCCCACCAATCCATATCATTTGTTTGTTTGATTAATTTGAGGTAGTTCAATTACACTATCACAGATTTGCTAGCACCAAGATAAGGATGAACACCTCTACTTCACTAAAAGTAGAAAAAGACACAAGATCAATTTGCCTAAAATCACACAGTGGTAAGTTAGAGTCAGGAGAGGGCACGGAAGACTTTTGGTTTCTCAGCTATTGTTCTCATCACCACACAAGAATGAAAAGTTCCGTCCCAGATTATAAACAACCCATTACCTGCCGAGAGGCTTAGGAAATGGATTCCGATTCAGATGACTCCTTCAGCCTGTACGGCTCATGGTAGTCATGCTCTCTTTTCATCTGATCGGAGTAATTCAATTTCAGTAAGAGAGAAAGAGAAGAAAAGGTTGAGGGTGGGAAGACAGCAAGCAAGCAAGGGAGGAAGGGAGGGAGGGAGGGATAGATTCTATAGACAGATACCCAGATAGCTACAGAGGGAGGAAGAGGGACCCAGGAAGAGAAGGAAAAGGCTGGCAGCTACTAACCCACCTATTCAAGCCAGAGCTGACATCAAACCTAATTCAGATCTGCAGGCCCGCTTCCCCTGTACTGTAGGAAGCCCTAGTCAGAGATGAGACTAACCTTGCCTTTACTTTCTAATCCCGATTAGGCAGGGCTTCCACCCCATCCCCTTCATCACTGTATCCAACTGGCATCTACTTCTGAAAAACACCTAGAAGCTATAGTTAAAACAGAAGCTGACACCCTTGCATGTCCTGCAAAAGAGGTTTCATATTCTTTTCCTCATTGCAGATGTCCTTAATGGAAACAGGCAAGCTTCCCAAGAGTAACTGCTGTCCAGGGATAGGGAAGGACTTTCTTGGCAAGTTGCAAGCACCATCATGCAAGCCATGTTCAAGCAAAGACCATGGGGATAATGGGGAAAGACTGAAAAAGGGTCTTCAGGTTGCTTTCCTGGCCCATGACTCTCCATACAGACTTTCCCCGCAAACAGACATCATTCCTGAGCACTCTGCAAGCAATGAGCTGCCCCAGGAGTTGTGTCAACACCACGGAGCAGACACACTCCTCACCCGTCAAGAGGGAACACGTTTTCTAACCATAAAAAGCTGAGTCTTCCAAGAAACACAAGAGTCTCAAGTGCACCCTTCCATCAGACAAACCTGTCGGCAGAAACACAGGGCCTGCTGTTTGTCCACATGAAAGGGGCCCCGACCAGGGTGAAGGAAATTGTAAAAGACTAGCCCCACCTGAGGAAGTGAAGCATAAAATAAGCTCCACTTACAACACATCTACCAGCTGTTAAAAAAAAAATGGTCATCTTACAGAAAGCACCCAGTGAGCAAGCCAGGAGAGCTCCTGGGTGCCTTCTGGCATGGCCCAGTTTTGAGTGGGAGATGCAATACTGGGGCACTCAGCAACAAACTCACTGCCTGTAGGATCTGCTTCTCAACCCAAGCCTGAGCTCACGGCCTGTCTCTTCTTTTCAAGGACCCTTTCTCACTCGCCATTTGTCTACAACTTTAAAAACTAAACACCGAAGCAAGACACAAAGATTCCCTACATGAGCCAGGAAAGGCACTGGACTGGGCTTCCTTAAGGCACGAAGGGCCCTTCTCCCACTTGAACAGCTAATTGAAAGTAACTGCATCACAGAGGCTAGAGCACAACCCAGCCGTACATGCTTTGGGACAACACTGTTGCTCTTACATTTACAGAAACGTCCCAGGAGCAGGCCAGGACCAACCCTCATCATCTGGCAACCAACTAGGCCGAGTTCCCAGCAGCTCCCCTCACCCAAGTCTGATCTCCTACCTCCCTCGGAAATCACCTCTTAGGGTGACTCTGTTTGCTTCCAGAAGCAAAGAGCTACTGGAAGCTACTCAACAGCTACTCAGAGTGGCTCAAGTGACTGACAACTTCTTGGACACTTCTTCCCATTCCCCTCCCAACCCCCATGAAAGAAGCGAGGAATGCATCATTCAGTCTCCAGTAGACAGCACAGTGTCTTCCACTGCCCCTGCCCTTGGAAACATGCCTACCTGTGTAGCCAGCCAGGGCAGCAGCAGGAATGACAGGCTTGTCCTTGTTGAGGTCAGCACGGTCACGCACATAGTCCTTGAAAGTGCCCTTGGGTTTGTGGTTGGGCAGGGCAGCCGGGTAGTCCTCTGAGTCGAAGCTGTCATAAGACGGCACACGCTGCAGGCTGTTGAAGGACGACTGGCTGCTCCAGGACTGGGTGAGACGATCGCAACTATCGTAGCTCTCTACGCTCTCAAAAGAATCCTGGCCCCCGAGCTTACCTGGAGTTAAAGGAGGAGGAGGGAAGAGGACAGGGGAGGAGGGAATCAGGAAAAAACAAACCGTAAAAACCCTCTTAGGAACACAGATGGCTAATATCTGCAGGACGATGGTGGAGGAAGGGGCTGGTGGACACAGAAGGTTTGGGGATTATGGGTTAAAAGGGGACTCACTCTGCTAACTGCCCATAGAGACCCACACATAGCAACTCCCCTGGCTCACTATCTATCAGAGACACAAGCCATTCTGAGGACCTCAAGAATGCTAAAGCCAGAAATCTGAAAGATGAGAATCATGTGTTGTAATGGGAATTCTGACAGATATATCAGAGCTGATGAGCAGATGAAGAAATTGGAGCAATGTCAGACTGAATTTTCTATTCCAGCTAAAGCCAATTAAATGATTTCAAATGGCCCAATTTGGCAAAATACTTTGGTCCTAAGGAAAAGGAAAAATTCCATTAGGCTAAAAGCAAATTGACTTTTTCTGACCTCAGAGCTAGTGTTATGTGTTTGCATTTTTCCCAAATACTATTTAAAATGAAATACATGCTCTGCCCTTATGCCTTCTGAAATCAATAGCAGTTATAAAACGCTTTTTACAAGAAATTAAAACCCACTACCACTTTTGTAAACAAACAAAAAGAATATATTCATCATAAGTGAAAGTTTGTATCTTAAATTTATACTTCACTGGGGAAGTGTGAGCAATAAAAAAAAAAAAAAAACAGAGAGGCTGATTAAAGAGTTAAGGTCCACAGCAGTCAGAAATCCTTGACCCTGTGCATTGCTTAAGGCATTCTTAACTGACCACAAGATCATGCAAGTTCATTAATTTCCCAAACCAGGTTATAAACAGCTGCTAGATTGCACAATAGCTCCTGGAGAAATTTCCACTGGCAAAAATGTCATTGAGAAGGAGGATAACAAAAAAAAAAAAAAAAGATGGGGGGGAAATAAATGCATTTAAGAGGTAAAAAGGTTCTTGGAAATGTTTTTTATGTTCTACTTTTAGATTCTTTTCAGGCAACCTAAACTAAACCATGGGAGACTAAAGAGCCACCTTAATGCAGCAAAAGCCAAGGGGGAAAGGATGTGACAAATGTTTACACAGAAATAAATAACTCTAAGTCAAGTTTCAATTGTTCAGGGATGACTAATTATAAATGTTAAATCCCAGAAGAAGACACGCTTTATACAATCCCATGTTAATGTATTTCCAGTGTGTTCTTTCCTTCGTAATACTGGCAACTGGTTAAAACAATGAAATTCAAACATGAACAAGTTCTCAAAACAGAATCAGATATACAGGGAAATAGGTGGCTCCCAAAATTAAGACAAAAAAATCCCAGATAAAATGCATTCCAGTTGAGTGTTTGTTTTGTGTGATTGCTTGCACCATTTATCCCTTCCAATGTGATGACAGAAAGGAGGAAATACCAGCTTCATCTTATGCCTTCCTCTGCTCCTCCATTCAGTGAAGGGAAAGCTCCAGAAGACAAACCCAAGAGCTAACTGGGTATATGAGCCTGTCCACCCAGTCCACTGCCATGTTTGCATCGTTTTTTGAAAACCACAGAAATCATCCCTTCCACACATTCACATGAAAGAACTCCAGGAGAACAACCCACAACCTGAATGCCAAGCCTCTTTTCAGCAGAACAGACTTTATGACATCTCATAAAGAGGTGTTTGCTCACTCCAGCAAACTGATCCTAATGCTCATTTAATTTTCTGTGACACACACAACACACCAAAACACTAAGAGAATGTTCCATGAAACATAAATCCCACTGAGTCACCAATATTTAGGATGCACCAATGCTTACATCTCTCTGAAATTATTCTATCTCTATCAACCATTTTTATATCTGGAAGGCAATGAGATTGGCATTTCCACAAGCCAAGTGGTTAAGTTTCTAAGAGAGTATCAGCAAGCCATGGCACCCAACAAGGCCCTAACCAAGTTCCAGCCAACTCACAAACAGGAGCCAAACACAGTGCCATGGAGAACTGCAGTTAAGAGCAGCAGGCTGCTTTCAACTCATTTCTACTTCACACATGAGAGTTGGGAACCCTCATGTATGAGCACTTTCTTCAAAAATGAGTTGGATGCAACTGGGTTAGGCTACTACGCTCATGCAAGGAACCATGCGTCCTCTAAAGGCATGCCCTGGCCAGCTTGTTTGAGAAATGGCTCAAAAAGTCCTTCCAAAGCTATCTGCTCCCACCACACAGATCTCACAGCACTCAGAGCAATCGATGGAGCAGCACCACAACAACCCACTGAACAGGCCAGCACAAAGACAGTCCTCAGAGTTCACACAGGCGGAACACAGAAACACTTTGTATACTATAATGCACTATATGAATACCACGATTATCGGTTATTAGCTAAGAAGAAGGCTTTCAGTCTAGATCAATCACAGCAGCTTTGGCCCTTGGTCTAGCTCCTTTCTGCACCACTTTGAACAGGAGGCCAACAGCTCTGCACAAATGGTCTTTTTCTCAAGGGTCTGTGGCCTGAAGGTAGAGGGAAGCAAGGACAAGTGGAACAGAGAGAAATACCTCACAGGCCTTTCCAGAGGTCATTCCTGGTCTAGAGTTATTAGTTTTGGATTGCAGAAGTGGTAGGAAACAAAATCAAGAATAAAGGGAAAAAAAGAGAGAGACAGACAATTACACAAATGCAAAGCCAGGCATAATTTTTAGCAACGTGACAAAAGAGCTACCTGAAGTTAGAACATGGCTGGGCCCCAAACCCACAGAGGCAGCCACACTGCACATATGTAAAGACAGCCCCGCAAGAAAGCGAGCTGTTCCAATTCTCTGAGCCACAGACACACACAGACATACACACTTGTGTGTGTGCATATTTAAATAGCTACACACCCAAAAATAAAAGACAGAAAGGGGAAGACAGAAGCGGTCCCACCCATTCCTCTCTGGTCTGAAACACAAACATGCTGGGGCCTGCAGAGGATGACTGCAAGGTCTGAGCTTGGGGGGACTTTCCCTGGAGAGGGCCTAGAGGGGACCCCGAGGCCTGCAAGTTGAGGTGGAGAGGGCTATGTATAGGTGTGAACATTCGAAGAAGGTGACAACATGCAAGGCCCAGATTAGTACGGCGGATGCTTCAAAGAAAAGGGGCCAGAGCTCTCCTCCAGGAGCTGAAGAGTGGGCATCACGGAGCAGGAATGACTAGCAGCCCACCCAGCCTAATTTCTGTGACCACAGATTGGCTTTCTCCCGTTCCCTCTTCCTGTGTGTAATTATTACCCATTCATTCATCACAAGCTATCTTTCTTTCAAATTTTTAGCAATCATCTTGCTCTTTCTGGATAAATAAATCGCCCTTACAACAGACTGCACTTGTCTCAGAAGCAAAACCATTTGGACACTCCACTTGGTAGGTTGTGTCTCTGCAAGCTTCTGTTCAGACACTCCAAGTTGGGTATCTTTTACCTCTTTTGCTCTGTGTCAGTCAGCTCTTTCTTGGGACATCTGACTTCACAATCGGAATATTTTATCATTATTGTAACAGTTATGTCAACAAAGCTACTTATTTGGAAAGTCTCTGGTTAGCTACCTCTGCACCTGTTTTCAGCTAAATGCACTTGCACCACACTGCTGATGTCCCCAGCACTCCGTTAGTTCACTATATGTATCTTCCTGAACCAAAGAGGCCACAGGAAGCTAAAGATTCCAGACGGGGTAGCAAAGGTCATCCCAGGTAACATGCCAGAAGCTGCAGACTGACCGGAGCATACTCTGGGAAGAACCCTGGGACACATGCAACCTTGGGACCATGTTCTCTTCAAGCTAAATACCTTCAAGGTAAATGTAAACACCTTTAAAATGACCAAATTCAAGCACAGGCATTGGTTGGCTGTAACACTTCACTTAAGTAAGACAATTGAGAGCTTACTGTCAGACTTGAATTCTGCCACTCTATGATGATGATGATGATGATGACTTAGTCAAACCCCACAACTGGAAGGTTTTGACAGCTAAATGTTCCAAGATGGGAAAACTGAACTTGGGAAATTGACAAAGCTAAGGGAACTGGAAGGCTCCCAAAAGTGGATTATTCTTAATGATCAAAGGCCTTTAGAGAAGCAACATGACTTACCACGACTGGTACGCCCCATGCACATGTTGTCCGGGGTCACAACTTCCTGTTTGATGGCAAAGTAGTCGGTCTGCAAGGTGTCAGTTTGGAGAGGGTCGCGGAGGATGACCGAGGGGTAGTCATTCTCATACTTGAGAGAGAGGAGCTCCTCTGAGCTGATGGGGTGGAGGGTCTGGTAGGACTCTGTGATGAAGCTGGGCTCGGAGAACTCCGATGGAGGAACACACTGGGCATGCTCAATACCATAGCCTGGGAAACAGAGCACATGTACAGTGGGACAGCGGAGAGATGGGTCCCTTGTCAAGCAGTTCTTGGTGACCTTTACAAGGCTCTAACAAGGTGGAATGAGCTGACCACCTCAGAGAAGAAAAGGCAAACATTCTAAGTCAGGAGAGCCTGGTTAAACCTTGCTACCCTGCTTCAGAGCGTTAGCCCCTGACACGACACCTCCCATCTCTAAATGAATGTCCTCATCAATAAAGCAGTCTTCCCCAGGGCATTGTGATGAAAATCAAAAGGGCACCAACTGAGCTCTTAACACACAGTAATTAACATTTCTGCTGTCCCTGGAATAACAACAGTAATAAAGTAAAAAGACAAAATGAAAATGAAGTTATTCAAGACTCCCTTTGAAAGGAAGATCATGCAGTTAAGAACAGACCTACACAAATTCTCTTCTTCTGATCTGGCCTTCTACTATGGTTAGGTGCCCTACACTAAAAAGGGAGAAGGCTTTTTTGTGTATTGAAACTTGAAGGAGTATGGCACATTCTTAAAGAAGGACTTCAGAGGCGAATAGCCCTCTTCATGAGTGAAAATGCAACAACAGGGTCCAAGATCAACCCTCTAAAGGTCACCATAGCAAACAGGAGCAAATCAGGTCGAAGTTTAGGGCTCAGGCTATCTTCTCTTTGCATGAATTTCATGTGGAAGACATCGAAGAGCATGTAGAAACTTGCTGGTTAAAACTAATTCAACTGGGGCCAGTGTTATGGTATAGTGAATAAAGTTACCACCTGTGCTATCTACAACCCATAAACACACATTTTCATGACCCAGCTGCTCCAGTTCCTAGCCAGTATCAGAAGATGACCTAGGTGTTTGGGAGACACAGATGAAGGTCCTGGCCCCTGGTTGCAGCTTGCCCCAATCATGGCTGTTGTGACCATTTGAGGGCTGAATCAGCAGGTGGAAGATTTATCCTTCCCCTCTATTTTTCTGTAATTCTTTCAAATGAATGCATCTTTAAAGAAAAAAAGAAAGCTTAACTCTTCGGCTCAAAACTCAACTGTTGCTAAGATTAACACACACAAGTAGGCCAAAACTTTGGACATTTTGTGGGAAATCATACAGGAAGAAAAAAAGGCACAAAGAAAAGTCTATGTTTAAGAAAAGATCATTTCCCACAGGATTCCCATGAAGGAGCCAGAGATCAGCCAACAGAAGGGAGCCCTCCCAAGTGTCCCATAGGATGAAGGAAGAAGAGTCAGAGCTGAACTTACTGATGAAGTAATCCGAGGTGTAACGAGACTCTGGATAGGTAGGGTTGACGCCATTCACCTGATAGGGCTTGACATCCTCTGTAACAGACAGGGACAGGGATGAAACACGGAGGATGACATGTCAGTGACGCTTGACCTGAGGCAGTCTTGGATGCAAGGGTCACAAAGACCTCAGCCCCTTTTCTAAGAAATCCGCATGCTCATTAACTGTGGCGTCTGGTTCTCTCCTGACTGAGGCCTGGCTAAGCATGAGATCATAACAGCAGGGCGCAGATCATGATTTCAGTAGCTGCAAAGTGAGATTTAATATCTTGGAAAGAGAAATCAGTGAGTAATTCCTGAGGGCTGGGAAAGCAGTCAGGCCTCACTCCCGATGCCTCCATGCTGTGTGCACCATATGGAAGGCAGAGGCTTGATGGCTCAACCCTCAACTGGATTCACTCCCACGCCTTCCAGCACCACCCTGTACTCTTCAGACAGAGGATTTCACAGCCTCTGTTTCTTCTAACAGCCGTCCGTTTTATGCCCTGTGTTTCTTGTACCACCCTCAGGTTGCCAGCTGGGCCCAGACTAGAAGCAGAATCCTGGCAGGGTGTGCAGTGAAAGACAAGAGCACTCATATTGTGACAACAAAAAGAAGCCTAGGTGTCCACCTCCCCCAGGAATGGAGAGAAGGGGAATCAGGACCAAGCAGCAGAGTCTCTGATTCTCCTAGCCGGTCATCTGCTTTCACTGCACTGCAAGCAATCAGGATTGCAGTTGGCATTGCATTACAGTGGGTGAAGTGACCACCTGTTACAGTCACAAGCCTTATAAGAGCTAGTTTGAACCCTGGCTGCTTTCCTTTCAATCCATCTCCCTGTTAACATGTCTTAGGAAAGCAACAGAGGGTGTTCCCAAATATTTGGGGCCCTGACACCCATGTGGGAGACCCAGATGGAATTCCAGGCTCTTGGCTTCATCTTGGCCCAGGCCAGGCCCTACTGGTCATTGGGGAAGTGAAGCAGCACCTGGAAGCACTGTGTGTGTGTGTGTGTGTGTGTGTGTGTGTGTGTACACTCATATGTGTGTTTTCCTTCTTTCTCTATAACTCTGTCTTTCAAATAAAACAGAAATCAAACATAATGAGAGTGCATTGGTTCCCCCCCCCCAACTTCAGGCAATTGATTATCTGTGGAGAATAAAGACTGCTAGGGAAGCAAGTTTATACCTATCCCCAGAAACACAGTTCCCAGCTGAGATAAACTGATTAAATGTTACTGCAGTCTTTTATCTGATAGAAAGACCTCATGTCCTGTGGCTTCCCACCCTACCCAGAGCAGCTCTGTCACCCTGGCAGACAAAGGTTGCAACCTGGGGACAGCTTGTCTCGGAGGGATGCTCCTGAAGCCAGGGGATGCTGACAGCTTCCCTCCATGCGACACGGGGCAGGATGACGATGAAAGGGTGTCTGACTTCACACCAGATTGTACCCTAACTCTCCTGCACTCTCTTACTTGACTCCTTCACAGTGAGCTAGCCCAAGCCTGCGTGCATGATGACGCACTCCTTAGAAGTCCTTATTACAACATAGGGAATGCAGGATCAGTCTTTTAAAAAAAGGACCATGAGGAGTTTCAATTGGAACTCTCAGAAGTTACATAAAATAAAGGTTGAGGAAATGAGTGACAGAGGAAGTTTCCTAATCTGAACCTGACTGTAGGGATGCAGCCTGGAGCACCTGCCCTTCTCCCACAGGGTTATCCGAGGGCCCATAGAGCAACACATCTTAATGCACTTTGGGAAACAAAGAGACATAGAGACAGGCCAAGACACCCCAAAACTTCTAACAGCTCTATCGTGATGCAGAGAGAGGAGCACTGTGTCTGCAGAATCCGTTTGGGTTGCACTGCCTGGCGGAGTCCGCTACTGTGCTCAGACGCCAGCAATGAGATCAGATCTGTTAGGAGCCTGCCCTATCTTCCTCTCTGTAAACAGGGTGCTGGTGTCAACACCTACACGTGGGCGTGTGTGCCGTTACACAGGCAACATGTTCTGCTGCTCTGGGGAAGGTAAGAAGCCGCCTGCCAGCCCCCAGGCACAGCAGCCACAGAGAGACCCACCTGGCTCTCAGCAGGGCTCATTGATGTTTTGTTTTGCAACAGCAGCTGAAGAGAAGAAGATAGCACTTGTGTGCTGGGAGGCGGCTGGGGCCCTGCAGAGCGGTGCAGAAGGTGCTCCACAACATGACAGCACTCACCCCGAGCTCTCTCCCTCCCCCCAGCCTCTGCGTCCAGGGCTGGAGCTGGTGACCACAGGGAAGGGTGGGCCTGGGTGAGAGAGGGCAACGGGCTTCTAGGCTTACAGTCAGCTGGAGGGCACTGCTGACTGCTGGTAACTGCCATTTATTTTAAGAAGAAATACAGAAAAATAAGTGCAAAAACACCCAAGTTTGCCGCCTGCTGCTGTTTCTATACTCAGCCAGGACTGTGGTACATGAGTCACTTGGTCCAAAAGGTTGGAAGAAGCTGGTAGGGGAGGCCATGTCATTATAAGGTTGCGACACAGCGTCCTGATTTAACCCTGGTCTCGGCTCCAGATGGAAGAGGTGGACTGCACCAGCGCAATTCCACTCAAGTCAGTGGGCAGAAAAGTCTGTCTTGTTAATGAACCTTGAGAAGTAAAGCATTCCTGTGGACACGATCAGGTATTATTTGGCCACCAATCAAAGGAAAGTGTATTAAGATTCTTGAGAAGAAAAAAAAAATCAGCAAAAAGTTATTCTAGGGCTGGCTGTGGGCAGCGTTTCTCCAAATAGTGCATGGGCTTAACATTAGATGCTGTGTTCAGAATTCTGCACACTGAGAAGCTTGCGAAAGATTAGCATCCAAAACTCTTGATACATAGCCAGTAGCCAAAATAATTAGCATTTACTAAACAATGGCTTAGGCACATTAACAGCAGGCACATCCTATAGACCATGCATGCTGTGACAGGACACCCAAAGACAGAGGTTTGGGGGAGCCCACCACTGCCTACACTTGCAATGAACCACTTACCTTTCTGCAGGATCTCCAGGTGCTCCCATAGGATGTCCCCGACAAAATCTGGGGCCAGCTCAAGAAAGCAGTCTTTACCCAGGGCACAGAGAGCTGCTCCATTCATACAGAACTTCTGGAAGTCCACACCCTTCAGGCTGAACTCATTCACCGCCCACATCACCCAGTCCCGCACATGGGTCTCTGTCCACTGCCGGGGATCTAAGGGAAAAGATCAAATGAAGATCCCACAGGTCAGCATTAGGGAGGACACCGAAGAGCTTGTGTGAGCTGAGAACTAGCAAGCACCACCCTGAAAATGCCATGTCACTGGGCACCTTTCAGCCACAATTGCACCTGCTCCACCTTGCCAGCTAGGAAATCACTATCATCCAACAAGTAACCTAAGAGCATTGTCTGCTGTGTGCTCAGGCAAACATTTCCTCGAATCTCTTTTCTTGCCTCCTTAATTCCATTACACTTTCCTAAAAGCCTTGCACAAAGAACAAATGGCTTCTTTAATAGCAATAATAACGGTAATATGTTTTCTAGAGATTACACAGGCCTCTCCCTGCTCCTAACTCTAACAGTAGACTCAAAACCATTCATGGCAATTGTTTTTATCTCAGTCAATCATGTTTAGTGATAACCACAGCAATTAGTGACAGTCATTCATCCAAATGGCTCTTGACAATAGCTGTACTGCCAGGTGCTTGTATTATATTGGAATCCCTACAGAGTAGGTACCTATCTCAGGCTCTGTGGTGAGAGTGCAATAGTGCAGACAACACACAATCTTCACATGTAACGAGAGGCTTAACACAGCAACACCTGCCAACGATGGAACTTGGAAAACATCACAGCTGCTCCAAGATTACCCCCTCATCCAGCCCATTGCTTCATGACACGATGGAAACTGCGCTGGTCAGAAAGACTTTGCTCTGTCTTGTGATCTTAGAGAGTGCCTGGCACTGCTGTCAGCCGAGGCTTGTGGTACATAGGCAAACATGGGAAAAGCGCTACAGACACATTCACAGAGTCCACCTGAGGTTTGGTACTGATGGGGAGAGGCCTCACAGCTGGCAGAACCAGCTGCTCACAACACAGGTTCACTCCCTTTCAAGAGGAAAGCATCCTTTTGGGTCTCAGCTGCTCAGAAAATGTTCCCTGGAGAAAGCTGGTGTGTTCTCCAATCACCTTGCCCTTCTGGGTCCCTAACGAGCCCCTTTGGCTGAGAACACCTGGGCAAATCCCATCCACCAAAGTCCATGGAAGAAAAACGAGCAGTCAATTCAGAAATGCAGCTCGCTGAGTTTCCTGCATTTGATGGTGGCACAGGCAGCACCCAAGAGGAGAGTTCCCAGACTTGTCTGCAGTTCAGAATTACTTGAGGACCTTCAAAAATACCATTGGCACCAAAAGTTGAAATTTAATTGATCTGGAACAGGACCTGTGCTATGCAAATTTTCAAAGATCCAGAGGTGATTACAATGTGCAGACAGTGTGGAAACTGCCCTAAGGCCAGGGGAGCGCTGACAGGCCTAGAAGCCAGGAAAGCATCAGCAGGTGGGTCTGCGACTACTCCCACCCACTGCTGTGAACTCCAGCATGCTTAGGCTAACATCTGCTTCCCCCACCCCCCAGACTACATGTGTGAAAGTGAGCCTTCCTTAGGAGTCTGGCCTCAGATTCTTATCTCGACTATGAAAACTTACCTTTTGGGATTCCCAGTCTTTGCTGCTCTTTAGTGAAACCACTGAAAGTAGCTTTCAAGGCTTGAGACATCATTTCTTTGCTACTAGGAGTTAATAGAGGGACATCTGCACATTCCATATCTGAAAGGGAAAAAAACGACATATGAATAACAAAAAATAAATAGGTAGTTAACCACTCACAAATCTAACAGGATGCAGATAGGCTAAAGAAGACAGGCTGAGAAACACGGCTGTAAGAACTCATCATAGCAGCCAAAACCTTGTGTTTCAGAGTCTCAACTCCGTACCTGTACCCAACAACAGGTGGGGAATCTTTGCTTGGTTAGGGGTTCTTTGGATACTGACAACATCATTTGTGGGCCACACAAAATCACCAGCTTAAAACTTAGCCTGCCTTACATTTATCAAACTCGAGTTCCACCTGCAGTTGATGAAAATTATTTCACTGGCCCTATGGAGTCTGCAGCCAGACTTTCTCCAACCTTGCTCTGCACCATGGCCCACACTGGAGCTCTTGGTTCACTTCCCTGTTCTCACTGCCAATTCCCATCACCTGCTAATGTAGAACATGCGAGGCAGCAAGTGATAGCTCAACAAATGAGATCCCTGTCACCCATGTCAGAGACTTGAATTGAGTTGCTGGCTCCTGGCTCCTGGCTCCTGGCTCCTGGCTCCTGGCTCTGGCCAACCCAGCCCCAGTCCCAGCCCTTGCAAAGGAGCTATCTGTGTCTCTCACTCTGAGTGTGTTTCTCTGTGAGTGAAGTTGAGAAAAAAAATTTAAGGGGCTTTCCACACAATGTGCAAGGCCCCTTACAAAAAAAAAAAAACACAAACTGTTGCCTGTCCCCTTCATAAAAGTATTTTCACTCTTTCTGTACTCCCCTGCTAGTTAATCCATTGTCTCTGCTTGTCTTTCCCACTCATTGAGGATCTTAGTGTTACAATACACTTTGTCATCTATAAAAAGTAACAATATTCATCCATAAAACAGGTAATTATTTTTGCTTTTGCTCTGTGCAAGGAATGAGAGAAAAAGCAGCAAATAGCAAATACGATGCCCTCCCCAGCTTCCTGATTCTGCAGAAGGTCCAGCCTCTAAAGTTCGATTTTCACAATTAACGTTCAAACACAACATCCAAGGAACAATAGAGAGGCGCCCTTCTTGATCATCTGGAATTCCAGCAAGTTGGAAAGCATCAGTAGAGGACTCTCTTCCGAGAGACAGAATAGTCCAGGCGGGAAAGGAAGAAGTGTGGGCCCCAGAGCACCTGCATCACCCAGAAACACTGAAAACACAGATTCTCCATTCAAATCCCAGTCTTACTGAATCACACCCTCTGGGGATGCAGCCCCAGAAATCCAGGTGATCCTGATGACCACTATGGCCTCTAGATAGACAACACGCTTTTCACCAAGCAGTGTAGCATCAGTCAAAGTCATGGCCTGGGTGGGGAGGGTTTAGCTGTTTTAATATCACGAAGATGAATGCAGCTGCAGCCAAGTCTTGGAGGAATACAGCTGCTGAGGTGAGGCTGGAAAGGTCACCATGGCTGTTTGGTGAAGAATGATTCAGGAGGTAACTGTGAATGGACATGTAAAAAAGAGACAGCCTCAGTTCTGGTGAGCGATGACACGTACTTGGACCAGGAGACAGAAGTGCACTCAGGGGTTTATGTAGGACATAACAAAGAGAGAGGCGACCAAGCCTGAACACTGGCCAACATAGTATCATTTGCTAGGGCCATGTGCACATAACTCTGAAATCTTCACCATGTCCTCTTCAACCTACAGGCCATGCTCTCAGTGTAGGCAGGCCCAGAATTCGAGCTGAAATTGAACACCTCCCCACCAAGACATGAGCTGAGAATTTCAGCTGGCTTCCCTGTGACCAGCTGGCAGCAATACATTTTGACTGAAGTGACTTCCAGACAGTTCTAGCTTCAGTGTGTTGTTCAAAGCTGACTTAGAAAATGGCTGAGTTCCAGGCTAGCTACTACAGAAGTAACCCAACTAGCCACTTCTGAACCTTGGCTAGTGACAGACAAAACAAGAAGTCCCTGGACAGACAGAATGTGCTCCTGGCTGAATGAAACAGAAATATTAAGGGGAAAGGATGACAGTTGGTGACCTCCGACAAACATGAGCATCTCCCATCACAACAGAGGTTGCTCAGAAAGCCAAGCGGAACCTTCCGTCCTGTTCCCTTTCACTGATGCTGTCAAGAAACTGCTCTGAAGCCAAGTTCTTCCCCAGGAAGCACCAGGGGTTCATGGTAGCTGCTCCCCTAGCCTGGGGCCAACGAAGGGCACCCTGAAATCTCCAGGGAGTGGTGAGTTTGAGTTGCACTGGGACATGCCCCCCACCAACCAAAAAAAAAAAATCTACTGGAAAAATCAACATGCCTCCAGAAAGGCTGACAAAATGATGGAAAATCCCAGAATGTTAGGGGGAAACCTGGGGGGAGGGGCACAGAATGCTGATTACATAACATCCAGCCCTACAAACAATGGAGCAATCATCAAATGAGTCAGTAAGAAACACATGAGTGCTCCCTGACCATCCCCACTCTACTTGTCCAAGAACAGCTAAGCCACAAGCCCAGAAAGGCCTTCCCTTAGAGCAGAAGTCAGTTCTGCTCAGAGCAGGGGGCCCTTTAGGCCACCAGAAGGTATTGATTCTGAAAGAAGAGACAATGGCAGCACCCCCAGCTCCCTGCACAAAGCCAAACCCCCAAGTAAATCAACAAATGGTCAGGGAATTAAAGTTTTCCAAATTTGGATCAACTCTGCTCCTTTCACTCCTACCCAACACAAATCCATAAATGAACTGTGTGCATGCTGTTTCGTGTGTTTGCTTCTACCAATGGATTTATGACTCGATGAAAAGGATTCTACTGAGGACAGGAATTAGCCCGGGCAGCACATGTGGGAAACACAAGCCAGGCCCGGCAGACAAGGAGCAGTTCTGCTGCAGACTGCAACCTTAGGAGGCTCAACATTCAAACCTGTGTAGGTGTCACCAGCGTGATAGGAAGGCCAAAAGCAAGAGCGGCTTCCTGTGACTCCACACGGGCTAGCAGTGAGGGGGGAACGTTGAGCTGACAGTTCCCAGGCCAGCTTTCGTTTCCCATCAGAGAGCCAGTATTTCCAGGTTCTCTCTTGTTATCTCTGAGGGAAGCACATGGAATGACTTCTGCTTGTCATCTCATGGCCATCAGTCCACAGGCTGCCAGCCACAGCTGCACTGGGGCACTCTGGTTGTGAGATTCAAGTGCTGGTTATCTTGGAATCAAGCTCACACAGCAGAATGCTCAGACATCAGCCTTTGGATCTGACAAGCTCCCCAAATGGAGCATCACCGCCCTGGGAAGCAGAGGATGTAGATGGGGATCTCAAAGCTTTGCTCCTGTTCATTTTTTACTTAAAAATGAAATCAAAGCCCCTCTATAAGAAAGAGAATCCCTGGCCAAGACCATCTTTATGTGCAATTGAACTATGAGGAATAATCATGTTCAAAAATGACAGTAATAGAACATGCAAACTTGTCATAGAAGATACGAATGAACAAATAAGCTAGACACTGCGTGCTAGTGATCACAGCAGTTCTGCTAATTTCATCGATCAATAACTAATGATAGAGTGGAGATTCTGACATGGCTTAGCCTGAGTGAGCTACTCAGTCTTTTTTTTTTAATTTTAAAAGATTTATTTATTTTTATTGGAAACTTAGAGTTACAGAGAGAAGGACAGACAGAGAGGAAGATCTTCCATCTGCTGGTTCATTCCCCAACTGGCTGTAATGGCTGGAGCTAAGCTGATCTGAAATCAAGAGCCAGAGGCTCCTTCCGGGTCTTACACGCAGGTGCAGAGACCCAAGCCTTTGGGCCATCCTTGACTGCTTCTCCAGGCCATAAGCAGGGAGCTAGATGGGAAGCAGGGCTAGCAGGATTAGAACTGGTGCCCATATGCGATCCCAGCACATGCAAAGCAAAGACATTAGCCATTAGACTACTGCGCTGAGCCCTGATGTGATAAATTTTGTCTTCTTTTTTTATTATTAGTATCATTTTTTAAATTTCATTTTATTTATTTTTTTATTACATTGCATTGTGTGACACAGTTTTTAGGCATAGGCTCCTGGTATTTCCCTTGTCCAAGCCCCAATTTCTCCCCACACCCCCACCTAGTTCCTCTATGTCATTAATAAAGTATAGTTCTTCATACACAGTCATATGTCCATCATTGCGGGCTTGGACAATGGCAGAGAGTCCAGCATCCTATTGTCAAGATGTAGTAAATAGTTTCATGGTAAGTCCATCTTTGTCTGGAAGTAGAGATGCATACATACTGCATTGTATCGTCACATCTGGATACGTTAGTTTCCATTTCACAGCTACTGTACATTCCCTCAAATAAAAAGTCAAAAACCAAAATCAAAAATAGGAAGAAACGTAGACATTTACAATGTCATGAAGTTAAATGTTACTAGATATGACAGTCTCCATTACACAGCTACTGTACATCCCCTTAAATGAAAAGTCACAAAATAAAATCAACAACAGGAAGCAAAAAGAAATTAACAACACCATGAAGTTAAATAACATGCTACTAAATGACTAACGTGTAGCTGAAGAAACGAAAATTAAGAACCTTCTTCAGAAAATGATGCTACTGTATGATTTTTGAGTCACTGAATGATTTAATCAGAAGAAAGTGTTTTGAAGAAATGAAACCAACAGAAAACACCAAAATCCATGCGATATAGTTTCCGCTGATTTTTGTTGGTGAAATGTGTCTCTTCTAAACAATAAATAGATGGGTTTTGTTTGTTGATCCTGTCTACTAATCTATAACGTTTGATTGAGCTTAAGGCATTTATTTTCAGGGTTAATATGTATGAGTGGCAATTTGGTCCTGTCACTTTAGGAATGGGTTGTTCACTGGTTTAGTCTTCTGTTGTCATTTTACTAGGATGCTCTTCACATTTGCCATTGGTTTTGGTGGGTGCTATTCCTCTTCTCTGTCAAGAGAACATTTTGAGTTATCACTTTTAGGGCAGGTTTGGAAGAGGCAAATTCTTTTAACTTTTCTTTACTGTAGAAGAATTTTATTTCATTTTCA